TTTTCTGTCTGGCTTTCTGTAAGTTACACGTATGTCCATCCATGAAAGCCATCTAAGGCCACTCACTCATTCTGGACATCTATCCATTATTGTCGCTAGAATTGCCGCTAGAATTGCTCCACTAATGTTTCACCACGTGTCGTCTCGTTATGCAGGCCACAACGGGAAGCCTGTGCGCCGTCATTCTTGAGGTCATCACCAACATCTACAACTCGGACAATGCCAACTACTTCATCCTGGAGCCCCAGCACACCCTCTCGCAGTTCATTGACCGGGCCACCACCAAACTTCCCGAGATCCAGCTCAAGATATTCGAGCTGCTGGAGTTTGTCGTCTTCAACCTGAACTTTGTCCCCTACAAGGAGCTGAGCAGCGTTAGTCTCCTGATCAAGGCTGGAAAGTGAGTTTACAAAGACAAAAAGGGCCTGCACATTGATTAACATATGTCCTAGTCATTCTGGATTCTGGTTGTTGCTGAGGTACTTTCTCCTATTCCCAAATTTGTGACCAGAATTTTTTTCCTCCCTTTTGAAAAGGATTGACTACACGACCCAAGTAAAGGTTCAATAGACCACTTGCATGTCTAAATACTAATCTAACTTCTCAAATGGACAGCCTTGTTAAAACTCCATAGACAAAGCTCTTACTGCATGCAAAGCCTAGTTCTCTTCTAGTTGTAATGAATATCAACAGCATGCAAGATGTTAAATTTCAGATAATTAACAGCGAAGAGAAAGTTTGTGGCCAAAAGTTGAAAGTAAAATTGCATGGGTTTGCATGGTTTAAAGCCAGAAGCTGACAGCCACAGGCGTGTGAGCAATTGCCGTATAATTCAGAAACTATCTTATTTTTTCTGGTTGGGCTGCTTGGGTGAAAAGTTACCTGCAGTAGTGAAGCAGGAGTCAGGTTGGCATAGTGGTTTTTTTCCTCGCCTTTTCATCCCTGCGGCGGGGGTTTGATTCCCAGCCTGGTTGTCAGTCCCTGCCTGGAATTTTCTTCTGGATTTCTCCTCCCAACTCTGAAACTGTAACTGCTTCTCGTTGTCTCCTTTCTACAGATTTCTTTAGACTTAAAAAGTACGGTACCTTGGGCACTTCTGAGGAATCCTTAGTTTTAATTCCAGAAGTACTTAATATTATTAATGAAATGACAACTCTGACTTCACCCTCTTTTCATCATTGGCCTTTTGGTTTCCATTCTGCAGTGATGTGGGCTGCATGATCCGCTCCATCAAATGCCTCCTGAGGATCCTGAGGCACGGCGGAGTGTACAAGGACGTGTACAGGGAGGTCGGACTGCTGGCCGTCATGGTGACGTGTCTGCACCGGTACGCCGCGTCCCTCAAAGACAACCAGCCAGACACCAAGGAGGAGATATGTGAGTCTGGGAAAAGTGCGGGAGAGCTGAGATAAAGATTGTTGCCTCTCCTGAATGTGGCCCTGGCGTGGTAGAGCATTTAAAACATCACAAGCTTGAATTCAATGAAGGGATCTTTGTCATATAATGCTCTCCAGAAAAGGAAAACTTTGTAAAGTATCATAGTGGAATGATGCCATCGTCTCACTTGAATGTAGTTGAGCATGTGCTTATGGTGGTTTAGGGAAGTAGGGATAAAGTGGCTTGCCTACGACAGGTAGCTGGATTCGAACCCCTGCTCCCTGATTTTGAATGACACACCCTGATTATGAAGCAACACTCTCCTTAAGACCACCAATACACTCTTGTTAGACATGCAGTTTAATTTCGCTTTACTCCCAAGGGGTCTACTGTTGGCCTTTCAGTACCTTGACAAAACTTCAGAGTGCTTTCTCTGTCTTCAGGTTCAGTTCCGGAGGTGAATATTCCAGAGGAGGACCAAGACCTGGCGTTCCTTGTGATGGACTGTCTGACGTTGTTACTCCACGAGAACAACGACAATGCTAGTAAGTGGAGTTAGACTACAGTTTAACTTGCCAGTCTCATCAGGCAAGACTTCGTGAAGATGGCTTCTCTTTCAAAGGAGCAACGTGGCTGTGACGTCCATTGTGTGTCCCAACTTCGCCGAAATTTGTAGTTGGTTGTTGATTGTGGTGCACATTGTCAAGAACATCTTCCAGAAGGCATTTGACAATGATTACTTTTTGGCTTTGGTTAATATATTTCTATCATTCAAATTTTTCCCGTTTATTTATATTTTTTTATTCTGAATTTTGGTTCTTTAAAAGTTATTTGTGTTATCTCCTTGGATACTTAACAGAAATTTTGCTTGTTTTTAAATATTTGTTTAATAAGTTACTTTTGTTTAACTGTTTTCTGTTGTACGATTTTTGTTAGTAAGTTCATTAAAAACAACCCATTGCTAAAAGAATTTGCAAAAGGCCCCCTTATCACACAAACTTGATTCTGGCAGTTGTGTTCCGTGAAATTGGCGGTGCCCGGTGTTCCCACAACCTGGTGCCCTACATCCAGTGCCGGCAGCATGCATTAGCTATCGTGCAGCAGCTGATCCTGAGCAGGGATGGCGAGGACGACATGGGCACACTGCTGGGACTCATGAACTCCACGCCAGCCAGTCAGCTGCAGCTCAAGACAGACATCCTACAGGTACAGGCTCTAGGCGTAGACTATTGGGAGGGGGGGGAGATGCTGGCTGTCCTGTAGATGTGGAATAAAAAGGACTAGATCGGCAGCAAATTTACACTCGTGGTCTTGCCTGGAGGGCTGTTTACCGAAGGATATATACAAAACTGGACGCTTAATGTAAGGAATGCAAGATGCAACCAAAATGGAAAGTGGCACTAGGACTCCAATGTGTGAATGCTACACCATTCCAGATGCTGATTTCAATAGCTTGGTACGTGTTGAGCCAAGTCATGGCTGGAGGAAAGATACATTTAGCTGTATACTTTACGTTCATTTTTGTGCGCATCCATGAGGGACCACAAACTGACGCCCGGTCACTACACAGTGAATGGGCGTGTATACATGCGCTGCCAATCTAGTCTCTCTATTCTGTATTTGTTGGCTGTCTTAATTTCAGAAACTATATGAGCTCACTTTTCATGTTGGGGGGCAGAGCAGAGTCTATACCTAACCAATCTCGCTTATTAGGCCGGTGTTTATTTCCGGGTTTCCTTGTCATGAAGTAACTGAGGATATTTCTATCCCCCCCATGGGATGCCAGACCACCTCAGGTTGCTTCTGAGCTAATGCTGGTAATTATTTGTTCTTTTGGGTGGAGAGAGGCGAGTAGGGGCGAAGTGACTTTCCCAAGGACTCAATGTCTGGCCAGCAGTTGGACTCAAAGCCCTGATTCTATGATCTTGAATCACACATCACTTTAATCACTGGGCTACTTTCCCTGCAACTTTTTACAGGGAGGAGTTTGAATTTCTAAGCACTGATTTTGAACTATCTTAATAGATCTGTAAACAGATCCCAGCCACGCTTTCTGGTTTATCCTTTTTTTGTCAATATCCAAACGAAGATAAAAGTGAACTTTGATAATATGTTATGCTCAGGTTGGAAAATGTTTTTGGAATCAAGTAAACTTTCCAGTGAGGGAATGTATAAAGGTATTTTGTGAAATGAATTCAAGTCACTTGGACAATGAGAACTGTGTTGAAAGTAGACAGCTCTTCAGAAACAGAAAATTGAGTTGTGTGGGATCACAAAGAAAGTTTTAATGTTGATTCACGCTTTTGGCAAAAATGAAGTCAAATCTTTGCTGCAAAATTCACTTGAGTTGAAATGTGTTCATCTTTGCGGATTTGCAGCGCAAAATCATGTCACATTTGTAATCACCTTCTCGCCAAGTATGGACCAGCCTTTAGTCTTTTTGAATAGATTTGAGAGAGCTTACATTATCCACCATGAGCAGGAGCACCCCCTCATCAGTCGGAAAGAGCCATGTTGGTGGGGAGTGTTCATTTTATTGGTAGTGATGCAGCGGTTGCATTTCATAGTCGTTTGTGAGCCATTGATGTACAGTTACCTCAAAAGGAGCCTCTGTTGGTATGGAAATGCACCCTTTCTTGGTACAGTCCAGGTCCCATAGCCCTTCCAGTAGAAAGCCATTGTTGAAATATTTTGGAGAGTTTAGAGTTTAGCAGAGACAAGAAAAAAACCCAGAATTTTAAAAATCGCATCAAAAAGCCACATCTTCTTCCTTTTTGTTGAACCAGTCATTACTGAATGTTCTGAGAGATAGTCACCGCTCCCGGACGGTATTCCGCAAAGTAGGGGGCTTTGTGTATGTTACCACAGTGCTGGTTACCATGGAAGCAAGTCTGAGTGACAGCCCCAAAGAACCATGGGATACAGGTAACACCACCGTTTCTAGACATGAAAATATGCAGGGTCTGTCATCGTTGCTTTCTGTTTTATTTCTTCAGCAAAATTACGTATTCAACACAATTAAGTGATTAGTTTCTTATTCACTCGCTTTGAAGCAAATTTTTACTGAGTGAGTAAACTTATGCACGATGGTCTCGGCAATCTTTTCACTGAGCAGAATGCAAGGAGACCAGATTCAATTTTCAGCATGTTTTTTTATATATATTTTGAATGGATTTGTCACTGGAGCTGAGCAAAATTTCCAGCAACCCCCATCCACACTACATTCGTTGCAGCTACTACGGGCTAGGAAAAGCCAACTGTATTTAACCTTAGGGCCCACTTCATATCTACCAGTGAAAACCCTTTCAAGAATCCCTGCAAGTCCTTTTTGATTATCCAAACACTCTTCTCTTGATTGTAGCCCCTAAGGACCAAGTCTTCACCCTTCTCCACGTGGTGTTCCAGACACTCACGGCTGCCATGAGACAGGAGCCGGCCAACGCCAAATTCTTTGCCTCAGAGGTGACGCTCGGTCCTTCTTTTCAGACTCTAAAATTCACCCCCCACCTTTCCCTGTCATGTTTCTCTGTTTGGTTGTCAGTGGGGACTAAAATTTCGACTTTTTTTTTTTCGTTGTAGTTCTCAGTGTGTGCTCCTTGACTTACCCTTCACAAACAGGCTTCGGAAGTGTGCCCTCTCAAAGCTGTTTTTTTTTCAATGCACATGTACATGTAGATGGCAATGACCAATCAGGCCTTCAGTACAGCTGTACAATAAACAACATACAGCATACTTTCGTATTCTGTTCGTGAGCTTTGCAGCAAGAAATTTTATCATTTCTCTATCTAATTGTCGTGTAAATACTATTATATCCTTATTGAAAAATTGCTCTAAAAATCCTTTGTCAAGAATATTGCTTTAAACATGAAATCAGGAAGAACGATTTGGGAAGCTTTGATTCTATTGAGCCCCAAAATGAGTTGTAATTATCGTCAGGAATGTGCTCTGTTTCTATTAATTTTAATTTGTGTCTTTCATGTTATGAGTAAGAGTATTTGCCAAAAGTCATGTGACTGCTGCAGTGACCTTTTAGCCCGGATGAAATGTGGAAAGTGGGTTTAGGACAAATTTTTAAAAAAAAAATTTTTTTTCTTGGAAGATTCGCTACGAAAGCTTAACGGAGGACATCCGACGTCTGGGCTGCTTCAGTGACATCACAGAGTTACTGCCTCAAGCGCACAGTCCATCGGCCACCAATGAGGGCTCCTCCAACACTGAGCCATTCCACAACCTCTTTGACATCGACTGGTATGCTTCTTCTCTGTATGTCACTCACGAGAAGTCATTGGGCAGTCCTCCAAAAATAACTCATACCTCCAAAATTTGTAGCAGTCTGTTGGATGAAAGCCAAATCTGTACATCTGAAGCCAAATTTCTTGGGGGGGGGGAACTTGCCCAATTCCGAGACCAATCAGTGAAATTCCTGCAAAGGATCCCAAAAGGTTTCCCCAATGTTGAATGTCTCCCTAATGTTTGATAATTTATATTGTCTCTAGTTCTCTAAAACTAAACTTGTCTCTAAATTTAGTGATGTCAGGTGTACCACTGGTATGTATTAACAAAGCACACATATCCACCTGTATCACGGCATTATTATCCCAGCTCTGTGGGTCCTATTTATTCCTTGCGTCGTCTCGGCTTCCTGAGGAATACATAGCTGTATGCTGCGATTTCAGGCACAAATGGCCAATCAGGTGCAAACAACCACCTGCGTGCACGGCTGCACAGATAACTCATGTACTTCGGAGTTGGGCAGAGTAGGTAGCGACAAAAAGTGCAGAGTTCACCGCAGATCTCAATATGATGCCCGAGACGACAAGGCTGTGGGACGCTGACAGAGTTGCATTTGGAAGGCTCAACTTGTGCCTTGTGCAGATTTTTATTTTAGGGGGATAGATAGTGAGCGGTTAGAAGCTGAAATGGGCTGTTCAGGGTTTAGATTTAACTACTGGTCACGCACTGTATCTTTGCGTAGTTCCCTTCACTATTTCTTAACCTTCTGGCCTCGTCAAGATGTTTGAAGCATGTACATGGGTGTATGGCTGCCGTTTACGGTATTTATCATTGACTTAATTTTTGGGGACGTTCACCCCGTTCAAGACTTATCACTGAAGCTGTTTTAAATCTTTGTCATTTTGCAGCAATCCGGACCACCTCTCTGATGGTTTGAGATCTTCCTGTCTGTTGCTGAGATGTCTGTATGACACTGCCATTGATGCTTTCAGCAGGTTGGTGTCGTTTCTCTCCAAGAGGAAAGAAGAATCGCAACAATTTGTCTCCGTTTTCATGCAGGGTCAAATTTAACTTGTGCATTGCGAAGTTCACGAAACGACCGATCATATATTCATGTAACATTTGGGGAATTCACACTCAGATGTCTGCAGGAAAATGAGAATTTTTCTCCAAGAGCATGCAGACAAGATGGCGGCTAGTCAGCCTGTGTGAGCAGCACTGCCGTTTTTGTACCTTCTCATTCAAAATTTCGCATTCAAAGATCATTCAAAATGAATGCGATGTATTGAATGATATTTAGGAGTCCAAGTACCGGTAGTATTGTTAACGAATCATTGACACATTAAAATGCTTGTATCATTTATTGTCCTGACTACAGCAAATCAGCGCAGACGCCCATCAACTCCCCGGCATCCAGCCACCACGTCCACGACGCCTACACCCCACTGCCCACCCCACCCTCCTCCCCCGCTAAGCCCCGGTCCCCATCCAGCCGGTTATCGCCGAGGTCGACGGGGGCCTCCCCACCGGGTGTGTCCTCCCCACTGTCACCCTCTGGTGGTCCTCCCCCGCCGCCGAACCACCCCACCATCGTGCATCCGGGTGCTGTCCTGTCTATGCTGGACCTGCTACCTTCAGTGCAGTGTGAGAGAAATCGCAAGGTTTGTCAAGAGTTATTTTTTACCATTTAAATAAAGTGTAGCAATACATGTATGTGCAGAAAAATTAGCATTTTTACCTCAAATTGCATATTGTAAATTGGTGTTTTTAACGACATTAGTTCAGCTCCATTTCTGTTATTAACACCAATAACCCAAATACCTTAAACTGCCAACTTCATTATCTTATTAAATTACTGTAACATTTTAGTACCGTTAACCTTATCTATTACAGTCACTGTTTCTAGCATTACATTGCTCTTGCTGTCGAGACAATAAACCTATAAACTTCAGTATTACCTTTGCATTTTGCCTTGCTTTCGGCAGCACTTAATCCACCCAGATCATGTCCTCTGTTTACTTCTCCAGTTTGCTCTCCGACTACAAATGCACATAGCCGATGTAATCCAAGACCTCGTCAAAAGTGAGCGCAACCAGCAGGTGATGTGCGAGCATGGTCTGCCGCAGCAGCTCCTGCACCTAGCGTCTGCGGCCCTGGCCGATGAGGAGCACCCACTGCACAGCAATCTGCAACACATGCTAGAGAGGCTGGCCTCCCAGGCGTTGGAACCCAAGGATTTGAGGTCAGTTCCTGGGTTTCTTCCTCCCCTGTTCTCCTCTTTCCCTTCTCCCACCCTTCCCCGCCCTACGGTACCTCCATCCCTCTCCCCCCGCCCTCCACCTGCATACCACCCGCGTTGCAAACAGGATGGCCCCACGGTAAGAGCTTGTAATTGTAGTCACCAGATGAGTCTCTACTGTCTGGTGTAGAGTGGTACCCTGCTTTGCCCCTTAAAAGGGACATCAAAGCCCTTGTGAAATACAGCAGAACTGAGTGATACTATTAGTATATATAGTGCAATCAATAGAAACAAATAGAAAATCTTACCTGAAAAATATCAGGTAGATTGGTAAATGGCAGTGTGCCATTGTGGGATGCTGGCATTGTGGAAAGTGTTTACTGCGAGGTTGCTTGGCAAATTTCTTACCCTTGTATACCTCTGTTGCTTTAATAAACTTTATGGAACGGGTTCCATTTCCATTGCAGGGATTTTTTGAGGCTGGGAAATCCCCTGAACTGTAAGCCCTTGGATGAATGCTCCAATCCGGCTGTCCAGCCAGGCTATCTGGACATCCCCATCAGTGCAATACCTACCAGTGCTGCAGCCGTGACCCCAGACCAGCAGCCTTTCACTGCTGCTGTCTCCCCGGACCTCTCTGACACCAACAGCGCTGCTTCCTCCTCGGAGCTCTCCTCCTGCTCGGCGGGGGCCCGGTGTGGCTGTAATCTCTGCGCGACCCAGGGCGGGGCGGTGCCCCTGACCCGGGTCAAGTGCCTGGTTTCCATGACCACGCCCCGCGATGTGCGGCTGAGCGGCACCTCGGTCACGCCTGCCTTCGCCGAGTTTGACATGAGCGCCGAGGGCTACGGCTGCCTGTACCTACCCAGCGTGGCCCCCCAATCCACCCCTTCTCAGACAGTGGTCAGCGTGGGCATGGCAGCTGCTGCTGATTCAGCTAACATCAGTGGAGTTGGAACAGGTAAGCAGTTCTGGAAAAATATCAACTCTGCCACCTCCTAAATATCTTACCAATGCCCTATTTAATGGGACTCTCCATCTCCATATAAAGCATTTGACCTGCATTCCTGGAGCAAAGACATTGAGTAAGTAAGGAGACTGCCAACGCAGAGATCTTTAGTTCAGTAGGTCAAAGCACTCACAGTTTTATAGATCAGAGGTTCAAATCCTTTTTTGACCAATTTTCTTAACTCAAGCTCTTCAGTAAAACAAAAAGTACATGAAGAAGGTAAATTAACCTATTTGCACTGGATAATGTACAAACGCACTTGGATTTCCTGTCATAAACACATACTGGGGAATTCTGTATGCTGTGCCATGTGACATCTGCACTCATCCCAAGCTTAGTGATTCCCATTGAGTTAGTACAGACAGAGGCTCAAACTAGTCTGTGGAGGTTGAGCGTGTGTGGAGCCCTCAAGCGGCCCTGGGCCAAAGCTGAGTGTTACAGCAAATGTTGCTCTGCAACTTTATCTTGGAGTTTTATTAACAGCAACAGTGCGATAAAAAATGTTGCGAAAATCTTGAACAAATGACTAACTAGAGTCAGCATTTGTACATGTGATATCTTTTATATATCCTGCAAAGCTCGGAGGTCAAGTGGTTAAAATGTCTGCTCTGGTAAACAGTAGGTTGTGGGTTCAAGTCTCACCCGAGTAAGCTTGTGAAATTTTTTGCAAGCTCTTGGACAAATATTTGAGTATCCATTGTAATATACGTTGGTGTAAGGGTAAAACCAGTTGTTATAAAACATTGATATCTTTTTGTGTTATGGAGCCACCATTTTGACATCATTTTGAACCAGGAAGTGCAAATGAATGGAGTATGCACACCTGTTGGTTCATGCGCTGGTTCTCGCGCTAATGCCTGTACACACATGATTGTGCATGTGGCGTATTCACTTCATTACTTTATGATAGCTTACTAACTTATTTTAAGAATAATGGTGGTTAAACTGGAAAGTTTCCACAGGACGTGTCAAATAAAGTGTTGCTGGCAATAGCTTGCAAACACTTTGCGGCACTGTCTGACAGTTCTTTCTTTTTTCATTGATCTTACTGAACTTTTTTGTCATAACCGAACAGGAGAGAGGGCATTCCCACCCCAGACGGGCCTGACCTATTCGGTCTGGTTCTGCGTTGACCGCTACTGCACGCTGGACATCTGCACGCATCCGGTTCGGCTCCTGACCATCATCAGGAATGCCATCAACACAGACAACCACTCTACTTGTTTGAGGATCAGCATTGAAGGGCCTGAAAGGAAGCTGGTTATCAACACATCGGAGGAACCGATGTCGAAAGTGGGTAAGGACCCTCGATGTCGTGAGATTCTTCCCTGGGAAAGGTCTTTGCAATACCAAATATGCTCTGCAAACTAAAGCTGTGTAGCACTTCCTGGGAAAAAAAGCCGATTCATTGATAAATTGCATAAAAATAAAAGTCCTTGTTTCATCCTCGTCACTGATCAGGATTTTGTTTTGTGATGGAAAGACAAGGTTGTTGAGGATGGTTATCTCGTTCTTACTTTGCAGATGACAAGCTAGACTATGACCCATCGGCTGTGAGGGTGTTCTGCCCCGAGCTGGCCCAGGAAGGCAAGTGGCACCACCTTGGGGTGGTGTTCAACAAAGCAGTACTCAAGAACAGCTCAGTTGCACTGTATGTGGATGGAACACATATACACTCGCACAAGGTGAGAGACGAGAGACAGACACTGTGACAGATATTGTGACACATACATTGACGCAGATAGATATTGCCGTCGTGTTAGAGGGACAAGCTGTAGTTGTTCCTTTCTTTCCTTCAATGTGTCACTCTCAGCGATACAATTATTTCATTGTGCCTGTTAATGCCCGAGAGGAGACATGTCCAGTGCAGACACTGTACAGGACGCCTTGGTGGAGGCATGACAAGTCAGATTGTAGTCTTTGACTGAGCGGACACTTTCTGGCATGACACCGGCACAGCTCGGCCTTTGAAAAGTCCGGCTGGCATGAAGAAAGTCTGAGGTCGGGCATCCGTTGAGCCTGACTTTGAATGTTGGGTCCTCCACTCTCTCTTCTGGCACACAGTGGATGATTGGAAGCTCAGCCAGCCTCTGATTAACCATCGATCTGGACTCCGGTGCCAGCCGCAGCCAAAGGGGAGGAAGCTTTAATGGTTACACTTGAGTAACCTTATTGAAGGAAAGACAGGAAGAACAACGGCTTGTCCTGTAATATCATGGTAATATCAGTCTGTGTCAGTCTACTGGAAATATTGATGTATCAGATGGCATAGCCACAGATACACAGGTAGGGCTTCAGGCCTACAACTAGACCTAGCTGTCTGAAGCTAGGCTTTTTGGATCTGTTGCAGGTTTAGTTGTTAGTTCACAGGGCCCACAGTAGCGAGGTTTCAGAGCCTAAGGCCTAGGTCTGCCCTGACTTTTTAAAGGCCCAATTTATTAATTTTTTCATCCTCTTCCCTACTCTAAATTGCCCAAACTCTGGGTTTTGTTGTTCCTAGGTGCCCTACATCCAGACTCACCTCCCAGGCACCACCGGCTCTCCGGCCAACTTGACGTCCGTCTACGCCTACGTGGGCACGCCGCCCCTCCAGAGGAGCATGTCCCGGTTGCTGTGGCGACTGGGCCCCGCCCACCTGTTTGAGGACGCCTTGCCGTCCTCCACGCTGTGTGCAATCTACCTGTTGGGCCCCACGAATGTCGGGAGCTTCCAGGCTCCGCGACAGGAAGGTATGCTTTAGTGGCAGGATGAAGGCAAATGGTCCATGTTGTTTCGATCTTCTACTGACTTTGGTCCGAGTTCTGTATTATTCAGAAAACATATAAACTGATGTGAATTGGTGATGTCAAGGACATTTGCTGCTGTGGTCTTCTGAATGACCTGAGACTGCGTTCCGGCTTTTTGAGACAGTGTGTAAAAGGAGGTTTACAGGGATAGCCATTAACCCCTTCACGGCGGGATTATTTTGACCGTGACTGCTGGGCTGTGGGGCCCGCTCCCATGTGTGGGACAGTACTTCAGGAGAGTGAATTTGTGACCAGGTCCAACAAAATGAGTCGCAAGTCGCCACAGCCACTGTGGAGTTGTTTAAAGAGTCTCACAAAGGTCAAGCGGTTAGAAACTTCAGCGTGTTTCTCTCACATGATATCCAATTTTGTCAAGATGCAAAACTCAGCAATACAACAAAACAAAGAACTCAGTTTGCTCTGTTTAATGCAATCTAAAACATAATTATAGGGGGAAATGACCTTAACCCCTTCACGGT